TAATATATATATAATAATGTATAATAAAGGTTGGGGGTTTTTTGTTGGTTGGTTGGGGAGTTTTTTATCAACATGTTGTTTTTGTCAATCTCTCCAGCTGCCTCAAAGTTTTAGCTAGCGCAAAAGGCTGTCTCACTAGCATCCACAGCCTGTTAAGCTTACTGTCTTTTTTGCTGTAAATACGGCTGGTGGGAACATGAGGGCATTGTGCAATGTGCTCATTGCTCACTTAAAACTGTGATATGTTTCCTTTTTATGCGGCCCCTGTTACTGTGATCAGGCCCTGAATTACACTCTATAATGTGGGAGACAGGGTTATTCTTTTCTTCCCCATCCCCCAGCTTACTTAATTGCCACACTTACTTGCACACATTGGTGGTATTTATGGCTTTACATTGTTTTTCTTTTATGCTGTTCTCTTTTTATTTTAAACCTTGAATAAATGCAATAAATCACCTGTAATAAAAGTATACATTTATGAAGTCTCTGCTACCCTGTTACTACTCTGCCTAACCATATGTATGTATATGTTCCAGTACCTTTAACAGGACTTCATTGCAGGTCCTTTACAGTAATTCATTTGAGACAAAGCTATAGTGTAAGCATCCAATTGACATAGTTCGGGACAGTGGGCAGGGGGACCTTGTTGACTTGTTTGTTTGGGACTGGTTTACGCTAGCACGGCTTTAAAATCTGTATGAAATTTTCAGGGTTTTGTCCTGACACTATTACAGATGATTTTTAATTATGAGATGCCTTATTTATATATTTCTGTATTATAACGTGTGTAGGTGTCTTCTAAATTGCTATAAAAGTGTATTCTGTTGCATTATAATATTTTTCCTTGTAGTTTCCTTGAGGCATTGGATTTCTTCTTTGTTTTCATTTATTTCAGTATATAAACTAGAAGGAAAGTGACTAAAGGTGGTACTACTGTGTGGGGTCCTGTTGTGGAGTTTTTATTATTCTGAAGCTGTAGTAACATAGTTTCAAATTTCTACTTCGGTATAGCTAATGTACTGTAGTGATGTGAGACAGTCAACAAGCACACAAGCTTGTATCACAAGGGCATCATACAGAAAACACATTTGATAACCTCTTGATATATAAGTAATCTCTTGGTGGGGTGGGCATTTTTTTGTCAGACTTTCCCCACCACTTCCACCTCCCACAACAGGCCCTATAAGTCTTCTATAATAGCCTATCTGGGCAAGCATAGAGGGTGAACTTTGCTCAAGAGTAACAGAAGCAAAACTACTACTGTTAGACATGGCTTTCAGCAATTCAAATGTAGTATATGTCCATAGAGTCTCATAGGCAATACTGTTGCAACTGCTGGCATGGGGTATAGTTTGCTACACTAAATTAAGCTCCTCCTCTGCGTAGGCTTCTGTAGAGGACAGTTTCTGCACTGACTATAGACAGACCAGCTTAGCTTTACGAGTATCCCTTGCCCCCCACCACCTCTTTCTCTCTCTCATATCGCTAGTATCTCTAGAACTGTTGTGTACATGTCCATTGTTAAGGAAGGGGAAGACAGCTTTAATTGGCAATTAGCTTTGTCACAGTGACCCCATTTGGAAGTTACTCAAAGTTTTGAATAGGTCTGACTTGTAATTTATGTAACTCCCAGTATTCGAGTGAACGCGTTTAACAAATGTCACATTTAGGCTGTATTCCATGTGTTAAGATTTAATTTTAACTCCGAGGAAAATGGATGGTTGAGTCACAGTGTTGAGAACTTGGGACAAGATGGCTGCTGTAAATACTTAACTAACACATGTCCTTAAATTTTCTTTAAACTCCCAAAATAATTCAGACTCACAGAAAATACGAAAATATTCATTTGGTATTTAAAAAAAAAAAATCTTTTGGAAAGATGTTGGAGTCCTGCATCAAGTATAAAAAGGAAATTATGTGTTTATATATTTAATTGGTGCAAGAGTCCCTATGCTCCACTATCAACACCACAATAACTAAGAGTGAAGTCTGTTGTGATCTAGTTGTGTCCTGTAGTTTACAGGTGACTTCGAACAGATGAAGGGAGAGAAACCTGTCAGAACACTGACAACCTGCAAATAGTAGACATACCTATATAAATGCAAATAAATGAGATCATGTAAGAAATTAGTTGGAAATATGTCAATTATTGGACAGGACATTGTATTTGATAAAAGCTGCCCTGACTTTTAAAGATTGCTTGGCTTTCTGTGGCAGGTATTTTTCCTTCATTATAACAAGGGTCTGAAGGGGTAAGATGAGGAGATGTGACTTTTTGATTCAAGGTTATTAAGTCAGTTTGTTCTGCTTGCCTGTGCATGCATGAATTCTCGATGGTAGCTGGAATCAAGCGGGGAGACAGATGAGAATTCATTGAGTTTAAGGACAGAAACCAGTCTGCTTTAGCACAACCTCATTTGTAGTCTACATACAATGCAGTACAAACGTAGTCTACATTTTATGGTAAAAGTTGAACTGGACTGACTTCTTAAAGGCACAACAGCTGGGAGATCTTGTACATCTCCCAAGAAAGGTACAAGGAGATTTGAGGACAACAGAATTCCGAATTCTTTGTATACAACCATGAAAAGCAGCACAGTCTCCTTACTGTAGTAATCATGTAGAGATCTCCCAGCCCAGAAAAGCAATAGAAGCAATACTTCTGAACTGTTTCCTTTCTTTCCTCTTAATTCACTTAAAAAAAAAAAAAAAAAAAAAAGGCATTTTCTGAGAGCAGTCTCAGAATTGTGTTTGTAACAAATAATGTATTCAATCTATTGAGCTTTTGTCAGCTGCTCAAGATATGTTGTTGCTCAATAACAGTTACATGCTGTATCTTGTCTGTAGATTTTTATCTGCAGTATGTCTCGGGAATTATTTTAGATTGTGTGTGTGCTGGATATGAAGAGGTGAAGAACAAGCCTCAGTTGTTGTTTTGGGTTTATCTGAGTAAGCTCAGTTTTATTTGTCTTAGGTGGTCTAGATTTTGGCTGTTCTGCTTTTCACATTTAACCTCATAGGGCAAATGGGAAAAATGCAAACTAAAGTTAATGGAAAGGAAATATGACTATGCTGTTGTATCTAGATCGATTAATTAATGAGTATTACATCTTGGACAAAAGCATGCATGTAAGACTGAAAGCTGTGAGAATGGCTCTTTAAAGTACCAGAATTCCATCAGAAACCAAATTTCTGTTCTTGATTGAGAAAGCTCTAATAAAACTGACAACAGTGGTAGGTACTGTCATAGCCATAACTTGAATATAGAAAATAGGCCTTCATTTGGTGTACATAAAGCTCACTGCATCAAGTAGTGCATCAAGATACAAGGAATCTACAGCGGTGCTTCTGATTTCTGGGTGTGGGTGTGTGCTTTGGTGTTTTGTACTGCTGACTACTGGTGTTAAATCATTCCTGTAAGTCGGTTAAATTGACATGCTTTTGTTTGTTTTTTAAGTGCTAGTTCTGTAAAGAGCTTGGATAATATTGTTGTGTGACCAAATAACTCTCCCTAGAGACAAAAATATTGACATGACAAAACCACATTCAAGGAATGACTGTCTGGCCCTCCCTCCAGTTTGAACATAAGTTTATTTCGAAGTTGATGAAATGTAAATTTGCTGCATTGCTTTTTAGAAATTATGTAACTTGCAATGTGCATCAGTCTGCCAATTGCAGGAAGGTGAAGTAAACTTCATGGATTTGTAAGACATATTTTATAGGCTTCAGATTTAGAAATGTAGTGGCTAAAGGAAACTTGCGTGTTACTATTGGTTAAACTTGTTTCCTTAAATCTTCTGGATAATATGTTACCAATGTACTATCATAAACCTAGCTTTTTCTTTTAGAGTTAATGGGGTTTTTAAAATTTTTTTTCTTGATGTTTCAATGTGTTTTGTGCCTAGAATTACTACTGTTAGCTCAAACAACAGGTGGTTTTATGATAACTGTGCATTGGTGGTTAGTCTTATATTTAAGAAAAGGAAAGATGGATGGATTAACTTATCAAATTTTGGTTTTTAAAACATTTTCTTTGCCAAAAATAAACCATACTTGATTTTCTAGCTATTAATTAAACTTCTTTGCCCTAACAATACATTTGCATTCACAAAACCTCTTAAGTTTAATAAAACTCACTATTGCATTCCATAGTAGAACAATTAAACTTTAAAATATTTTAGGATTTCTAGAAACTAGGTGTATCTTAGTAAAATTGATAATCTGGCTTTGATTAAAAACAGTATCAGAAACTCACCTATAACATAGCATAGCTTGGTGTAGAAATTCTGTAGATAAAATGATTCTTTTCTCTTTGAGTGATACAAGAATAATAAAGATATTTTGATATCCATTTGTTCTGGTAAATGTTGTTGCTGATACTTGTTTTGGGAGACAGATATCTCTACTCAGTTTTCTGATCTCTGAAAAGATTGACGAAGTTTGTAATTAAATGCTACTTTTCGACTCTGAAGTTTTTGTACTAGTTGCATATTTATATTATGCATACACAAATGCAGTAAAAGTCAACTAATATTTTACTATTACATCTACTTTTTCATCAGCTCCTGGGCTACAGCGAAAAGCCAGTAAACCTACAAATGTTCATCGGAACAGCAGATGATCGCTACTTAAGACCTCATGCGTTCTACCAGGTGCACCGAATCACTGGAAAAACAGTTGCAACAGCTAGTCAAGAGATAATAATTGCCAGCACAAAAGTTTTGGAAATACCACTTCTTCCTGAAAATAATATGTCAGCCAGGTACATCACAGCATAACTTAGATGCTATGTGTCTTTTTTTTTTCTTTTCTTTTTTTATTCTTGTAGAATATCGTATTTTCCACAAATATAGCTCATGATTAAGATAGACACATCTCTTTAAACATGTCAATGTTTAGGTAGTCAGAAGTAAAGGAGCAGAGAGACAGGGAAGCTCACAAGATTGACGGGAAGATAGATGAGTGCTTCTGGGATTATACTTCCCCATACAATCCATACATATATGTGACTCCACGTTTGTAGAATTCTATGTGGGCTACTGGCTGGTAGAGGTTTTGTTTGATTTTACAAACACATAAGACTTTTTTTCTTGAAAATAGTTATAGATTTAGTTGTTTGCTTCTGGATTGAATGTGGTGATTTAACTTCTGGTATCTTGGTAGGCCTTTTCCTTGTTTTGGTTTTTTTTTAATTTTTTTTTAATTTTATTTTTAGCAGTTGTGTTATTCTGACTGTTCAGGTCTTGCCAGATAGAATGTGCTAAATAATAGCTTAATGGTTAGTTACAGCAAGAATTAAAATGCTCTGTTCTTGCTGGAGGGTTGGTGAACAGAGTCAAGCGCAATTATTTGTTTATGTAGCACATAATGTAGATTTCTGAAGTCAGCTTAAACTTCCTACTTGGCAGACTTCATGCTAGTTCCATTGAATGCTATGAACCCACAATGATGTGCAAGATAACACTCCTCAGAAGTTTATGTATACATGTTACTTGGTTAAAGTACGTGTGTCTCAAATAATTGATAAGTATGTGGAATGGTAGCAGGGATTTGATGGCTACACTTCTGTCATTCTCCAGTCCTTCCTAAGGCAGAACTAAGTCTAGGTTTCTTGCTCCTTGTAAATGATGTTTACTATGTTAAATAACTTACTTAGAAGGGTAAATCTTTTAAAGGTTCAAAAAAGCAGCAGTTAGACGTTTACAGGACAAAATGTTTCAATGGAGTACTTGCTGCTGTTTTGACACTAACAGATCTTTTAATCTCAGACAACTTAAAATAACATCTAAAATAGCGTGACATGGGGGAAAAATAGAATGCTCTTCATTCTTTAACAAAAGAAAGGCTTACAGAGTATACTTTGGCAATAGTTTGATTCATTTTCTTCCATTTCTCTTCTGATCCATCCGTCCTCACCTATCTCCAGTATCGATTGTGCTGGTATTTTGAAACTTCGCAATTCAGATATAGAGCTCCGTAAAGGAGAGACAGATATTGGAAGAAAGAATACCAGAGTGCGACTTGTGTTTCGTGTTCACATCCCACAACCTAGTGGAAAAGTCTTATCTCTGCAGACTGCTTCCATACCTGTTGAATGCTGTAAGATTGCTTTACCTATACATAACTTATACTTATGTTCTCTGCGTGTGTCAGTAGTATTGTCATTCTGACAATATTTATTGTCAGAATTGTATATAACAAGTGTATGTACAAAAGCATGGTGTAAAGTGCTAAATTACCACAAATTAATATATCTTTATTGAAAGGTGGTACTTGCCAAGTGGCAGCCTGAAGGTTTGGAGGAAAAACAATGTTTTAGGCTTTAAACCTAATATTGCAGTCACATAGCTAGCAGCTTCAGTAGTTCCTGTATAGGAGCAGAGGCAGCTGATATATCTCAGTGAAAATAAATATTCATTTCTTGAAGAACTAATACCACTTCATTTACAAGAGTCTATACCATTACTTGTCTTTATACAATATTATCTAATGAACAGCTGAACTTCTAGAGAGTTCATTTGGTAAATGCTGGCACTAATGAATCAAAACATGGCCTTAAACAATCTGAAATTCCCCTAGAATTCATTTTGTTTATAAAATACTAAAGTAATTTTTAAACCAATATTCCTAAATGAAAAATTTAATTTGCTGTAACAGTAGAGACTGTTGGGATTCATGGCTTCCTGGTGTTTCTTTCCTATAATTAATGTAATTTTGACATGATTTAAAAAAAAAAAGATAAATCATACACAAATACAATTTATACATGTAAATAGATGGTCATTTTAGTTTCACCCCTGATTCTTTAAGTTAGGATCATAAAAGAAATGTCACTGTGATTAAAATTGCGAGTAATAATTTTTCCATTGATTTTTTTTTTTTTTTAAAGCTCAGCGATCTGCTCAAGAACTTCCTCAGATTGAGAAGTACAGCATCAATAGCTGCTCAGTAAATGGAGGCCATGAAATGGTGGTGACAGGATCCAATTTTCTTCCAGAATCCAAAATTATATTTTTTGAAAAAGGACAAGGTAAATATGGTCTTACTACTTTTTTTTTTTTTAGTTCTTGAAAACAAAACCAAAAACACTACCTGAGCTTGATTTTAGGAATTTTTTTAATTTTTTTTAAAAACCATATTTAAGTCACAAGTAGTAATCTGAAATGTCAGTTTGGGCCTTGATCTATACGGTGGTTGGCAATTATGAATGAAAATAGTACTTCTGATTCAGGAAGACAATTACAGGCTAACTAACTTTGAATTGTGTGTATTTGAAAGATGCTGTTGACAGATCATACCATGTATTTTCTCCTTCTTATAAAAAAAATGAAAAAATGAAAATGGGATCTAATGGAAATGTACTATTTGGCAGTGACGTCATATTACATCTGCATAGGAACTGACTTACTCCTAAGCTGATGAAATAAATACTAGCTAGAAAACACAACTGATTTTTTTTCCATATAGTTGTGTAAGTTTTTCTATAGAAGTTATTCTTAAGGGATGCATTTCTTTAAAAAAGTCTCTGGCTCAGATTTGGTGTGCAGTGTATGCTTCAGCTGTGACTATGCCTAATTTGCATCTGTAAACAGGCAAGTGTGCATGTAGGCAAAATGCTGGCGATAAGCAGTGGTACGAACAGCAGCAACCTTTTGTATGTGTATTAAACATTTGTGTGCTTGACAAGCTGGTCAAACATTTAATTGCCAAGCAATCAGAAATGTTATAGTCAGTTATATTACATGATTCTCATTCTCTAGAATCCAAGTTCAGTCTTCTGGGCAACACTTAGTCATGGGTGAGAAATGCAGCAGGCTAACACTTGCATATTACTAAAGTAGAGTTAAAAATAATATTGCAGGCAAGCATTTCAGGTAAGGTATACTACAGACATAGTGTGTATGCAGCGAAATAGTTTCATTTAATTTTCAGTAGTTTCAGTTTCATTTCCACACAGTTTCATGCAGTGAAATCTGTAGAGAAATTTACCTGCTTCCTACTGATCTCATGAAATGAAATGAAATATTCTTTGAGAGGGTAGTAGATTAAATTTTTCAGTTTAATATATAGGAAATAGAGACTCAAAGTTATCGAGAAACTTGCAGATTTTGGATGAATATAAGTACAGGTTTGAAAGCGTTTCCCCCCCCTAAATCCATGTTCTTCCTCTCTTCTATCACTACATGATGATGCACCTCCATAAACTAGAGAATTTAACACCCAGAAAAACCTATGAAATACTTTTCATTTTTAGTTTACTACAACCAGATATGATGAACATTTTGCAAGTTTTCTTTGGTTTTGTTTTGTCTTATACACAGGTGCGCATACGCATGCTCAACTACATACTTACATATTACTCAAAGATGTTCAGTTACTCAGCATTCCTTCCTGGTTCTGTAGCTCTTCTGGATATACATCTTGATCTTAATATTTCTTACTTAGACTAAAATGCATGAAAAATAGTTGAAAATTTAGGACTAGCTGTCTTAATACGTAGAGTTCCTTTTATTCCCTGATCGTCCCTTTAATATAAAGAGCATAAAATTTGAACAACTTAAATTTATGCTGTGACTTGAATATCTGATTTGAACTTTTGGGAAAACAGTAGCGAAAGTAAAACATTAAAAATAAAAGTTTGCAACCAAGTCCAGTTCTTCTACATCTTATTACTTCAATATTAGTTAAATATTTAAGTAAGAGTTGGAGGTTTTTTTATTAGCAAATACAACTTAAGTGGGGGGTTTATGTAAGAATGTGTTTTGACACACAACTTGAATGCCTTTTAAAGAAGTTCTGCTGCTAGGCAATAGGTTCCCTGATAGCCTGTACAAAAACCCACTTAACAGAGAGAACCCAGTGTTAGATTAAGGATAATGGGTTATGCTAGGTCAGAGCAGAGAGAGGTTCACCAAGGTGATTTACTTCCCTGACAACACAGACAACTTGCCCCGTATTTGAACTTACAGGGTCTTTCGGTTCCAGGGAGGGTGTTTGTTTTAAATGTATAACCTGTGGGTATGTGCATGAAGATATGGCATATGTTATCTCTCACATGGTGACTTACAGGTTAAGTCATCAGCATGTTTGTTTGAATAATCACAAGTGTTAGTAGTAATTTAACTACCTTTCAAAAATGTTTTTAGAAAAATGGGGAAAAAAATCCTTCTGTACACTTATAGTACACACTGCCTGCTTTGGAATTAAATCTAACTGTATGGAATCAGCAGGTTCTGTTAAAATGCAGAACCCTGCCCAACGGTCAACTTATGGACAACGTAGTGTTGACACTTCTAAAGCATCTCTGTACTTTATACTTTGTTTACAATATATGTCAGTTGAATGGCCTATATATGACTGAAAATAAATGCAGTTTTGTATTAAGTATTTAAGTGGTTTTAAGATTAAGTATTTTAAGCAAAAAGCACTTTCTAAAACACTTGAATTATTTGTAAATTTCTCTCAACAGATGGACGACCACAGTGGGAAGTAGAAGGGAAAATAATTAGGGAAAAGTGTCAAGGGGTGAGAAACAATTTTTCTTACTTTAGAAAGCTTTCTGTTTTAAAATGAGAAACTAGACATCTTCACTGTTGTTCTGAAATTTAGACTTCATTTAGTAAAGTAAGCAGATCACTGGCTGATTCAGACAGACAACTGGAGACTTCTAAATTGGCTTAATACTATAAAGTAGCCATTAAGACAATGCTTTGAAGAAACTGGAAATAGTATGCTTGTTGTGAAAGCAATGAAAAAAGAAATTGAAAAAAGAAAACCGAAGATAATTTTTTTAAGACGACAAATAATCTCCAGTGCATTAAATTTTTTCTTAAAAGCATAATGACCCAAAATGCAGTTTTTGGCTGCTAGAGTTTTTTTATGCTCTGGCAGATAAACAAACCATCCTTTAGAAATAGATGTCTATTTAATTAAAAGCATTGCCTTCAGAACACTTGTGTTTAAAAGAAAAAAGTCTCCAAGTAGAAGTTTGCTTATAGTTCTGTTTTACTATGTAATATGCATAAACTTTACCAATTTCAAAACATCAGTTTGCTTTAGTTTTGCAATAATTTTTTAGTTTTTCTGTAATTAAGAGCAGTTTCATTTGCATTTGATATGTAAAACTCTTTTGTTTCAACTTTCATATAGGCAAACATCATACTTGAAGTTCCTCCATACCATAACAAAACCATTACAGCTGCAGTTCAGGTGCAGTTTTATCTCTGCAATGGCAAGAGGAAAAAAAGCCAGTCTCAACGTTTTACTTATACACCAGGTATTAAATACAAAAATAAAATAGAATGCAACGTTTTGGTTTTTGAAGTAGACATTTGAAAGTAATTCAGACAGTCTTGTCTACCTTTGACAGGTAGATAAGACTAGCTTTGAATTGTTTGTAAAACAATTTCCTTAAGCTTGTCTAATTAAAAAGCTGAAATTTAGAGTAATAAGCTACAGTGCTATGATTACAGCAGGTATTTCTTCACTACAATTTTTACAGAATAATTTGCATTCTACTTTTCTTTGATAATGATGGTGACTCTCAGAAGCTGCTCTTCTAAGTAATTCTAGTGAGGATAGTGAGATCGTAGAATAACAGGTTTTACACATTTCCCCCTGCCCACAAATGTCACCCCCCCACCCCCCCGATTTAGATACAAGGAAGATAAAAACCATTTTTCTCCCTTCTGGACACATTGCAGCGTGTTGAGAGAAAATAGTTTGTAACTTAGCCAGAAGCGAAAACTGTACATGTTAACTGTACATGTAGTTAAAACATGTTAATCCCTTCCATTTGGTACGAGGAATTGGTTACTTCTAGATATGCAATGCCTAGTCCTTTGCCTGCCACTTACTCTCTTTTCTTTTAAGAAATTTGTACCCATTTAGAGTAGTCAGAATTCACAATGTACCAGTGATGGCGCTAGACCCTTTAGAACTGTTTGGAGGACTTGAAGTCAGGTATCTGAAGGAGTCTTTAAAGTCCGATATGGATATTAATATAAACTTCCTTAAAGCTAATGTGTATGCTGACAAAGCCAACTACCAGTAGTTTACACTATTTAAAATAAGTTTTGCTCACTTGTGCTCTAAAATTACCTACTTCATACCTTCCTGCCCAATTTGAGCCATGTTACCTCAGTATTTGGTACGCTAAGTATCCATTTATAGTGTTCTGAGATTTATGTGGTGTTTTTCAACCATTCTTAAGAATGTCAGCTCCTAAGATAGTTACAAGACACATCTTAAACTATATTTTTGTTTCAGAAATCCATATTTAAATTATTTAAATGGTGGAATGAAGTAATGACACTGCTTAAATAAGAAGGTTAATTATAACTGCAGCTGTTATTGCACAAACGTCTTAAAATCCATTTTATCTATAAATATATATAACAGTTTCTTTAACAGTGTATTGTATAAAGTAGTAATTGAGCAGTTAAAAGTGTTAGTATTTTTCTACTATTTGTACTTAAAATCAGTATCTTTTCATGAGCCTACCAGTAGCTTAAAAAAATAATCCTGTAACTGAAAGTGTGTCAATTTGTAACTCTGTATTATACGAACAATTGTTGCCATCACTGAAATTGGGAGATATGCTGAAAGAGCTGCTGTAATTAAAACAATATGCGCTACTCAGACTAGTTTAACGGTGTTGCCAAAGTTCAGCTATCATCTTGATCAGAGGCTAAGGAAAGTTTGAAGCCAGCTAAAAATTGCATTCACCTTTTCCTAGTGCCTGATACTGAATTCTTGTCTGCCTATTTTCAGTGGAGCCCAGCAGCGCGCCCCCTGCCCACCCCCCACC